GCCGCGGCGCTCGGGGCCGCGCTGGCGGCGTGCCGGCGCGACCTCGCGGCCGAGCGGCGCTCCGCCGCGTCGCTCCGCGGCGCGCTGCACGCCGCGGCCGTCGCGGTCGGACCCGGCGGGCCCTCGCACTGGGACGCGGACCGTAGGCTCGCGGCCGCGGCCGCGGCGGCGGCGGCCCAGCAGCTCCGCGCGGACGCCCTCGCCGGCGCGCTCGAGGCGGCCAACGCGCGCCGGCGCCACGCGGCCGGCCGGCCCCGGCCGCGCGAGGGCCGCGCGCCCGTGCGCGCGCCGCTCCACCGCACGCTCACGCCGCCGACGACCTACGCGGGCGACGCCGTCGGCAGCTTCCTCGCGGACCTCGGCCACGACCGGCTGCTCGTGCTCCAGCGGCGGGGCCAGGACGCGCGGCCGCTGTGGCTAAAGTGATGTTGAATTGCATGTTGGGCCATTGATGAATTCCGACCTAATGCTTTCGTGCTCACTAAAGTTTCCTCCTCGCATTGTGGGACCTCCCACTGCATCTGCTTCACCGGCATGATGTTGAATTGCATGGTGCCTTTGTCGAATTTGCTGGCCAGGTTGAGCTCTGCACGAGCTCCTTCGCACTGAAGTGCGCAACCTGCCGCTGCACCAGGTGCCGTACGCGCGATGCAAAAGCTCCTGCTCGCGATCTGCGTGGCCGCAGCGGCGGCCTTCGGCGCGCAGTCGCGCGCGCGCCCGCTCACGCGCCTCTTTGCGAGCCGCGCGTCTTTCCCACGCCTCGCGCCGCTCTCCAGCACCTCGAAGCGCTTCTCGCCCATCGCGCGCGGCGCGCCGCTCCGCGCCGAGCCGCTGAGCGAGATCCCGACGGAGATGGGCGAATGGGTCGCCGCCCGCGTCCAAAATGACGTGACGCGAAGTCGTCGACGCGGAAACGCCGTCGCGCGCCGGAGCTCCTCCGCCCGCAGGACCCGGCCAAGTACAGCGACGAGGAGATGCTGTCGGAGCTCAACGGCCAGCTCAAGGAGGCCATCGCGGCCAAGGACAAGGAGCTGCAGCGGACGCTCGCGCGGAAGATGGAGATGCTCGAGGAGGCCAAGCTGACGCCCGGCATGTTCGACATGTCGCCCCTCCCGGAGGGCGAGCTGCGATAGGCAGCTAGTGCGCGACAATCGTCCGCTAAACACGCGAGCTATCGAGCCAGCGGACGACTAACTCCTGTCTTTTAGCCAGCGGACGACGCCGGGCACGTGCGCGAGGCCGACGACCACGGCCGCGGGCCCCTCGCGCGGGACGGCCTCGGCGAAGGCGCGGTCGCGGTCGCTGACGAGGACGCGGTGCAGCGCCGGCGCCGTCCGCGCCTGGTACGCGCACGACTCCGCCGCGCACGCGACCGAGCGGCGCCGGTCGATCCAGTCGCTCGCGCTTTCGCTGGGCCGTCGCTTGATGGGGTCCTTGCCCCGGTTCATGAAGACGGTGAGCCATTCGCGCCAGCCGACGCGCCGCGCGCGCGTCGTGAGCTCGCCGAAGTCCCAGTCCGCGCCGATAACGCGCCTTTCCCCCGCGGCCGCCACCGCGGCCTCGAACTCGCTCTCCTCGTCGTCGTCGACGTCGCCGACGTCTCGGAGTTCTAGCCAGACGAGCGCGCCGAAGCACGCGCCGGCGAAGCTGTTCGTCGACAACACCAAGTCCGCGAGCAGGCCCAGGTCGGGCTCGCGCCGCGGCGCCCTCGGCGCACCTCCTTCCCTCCGCATCTTCTCGACGCGCGCCTGCGTCGCCTCGACGATGACGGTGGCGTCGGGTGCGATCCATTCGCAGAGCGCCGCGGCCTCGGCGGCCGACGCGCTGCCGGCGTGCACCGTGCCGAGCACATGCACGCGGCCATTGTCCACGGGCACGAGCATGCCTCTGTCAAGGGCGGCGGTGAGCGTCGATGGGTACTCGAGCGATGCGGCGGCTTGCACAACTAGCATGGTGACAAGCAGGCGCATCGCGCTCTTCATGCTGCAGGTGGGCAGGCCTTGGTCCGGCACAAACTCCATCTCAAAGAGGAAGCTATATTGAAGCAAACTTGCCGTTCAACGACGCTTCCAGAGACCACGGCTTCCCGCGCGTCGCGCGCCTCGGAGAGCGGGTCCGAGCTCGGAGGACCTATCTTAGTCCGGCAGCGGTGGACACGGGGCTGCTTGGCACAAGGGGTTGGGGTTGCACATGGGGTGGCGGTGGCGCGGCGGCTCACTCGGTGATGCCGAAGAGGACGTCGAGGTCGGCCGCGGAGAACTCCGTCTCGCCCGTGCCGGCGCCGACGTCGTCCGCCGACGGCGCGTCGCCGTCGCCGGAGGCTTCGAGCTCGCCGCGCTTGTGGCGGAGCTTGAGGAGGCGCTCGTCCATCGTGCCGCGCGTGAAGAACTTGATGATCTCGACGTCGCGCGACTGGCCGATGCGGTGGACGCGCATCGCGGCCTGCGCCTCGTTGGAGCCGAAGCGGAAGGGCTCGAGGATGACGACCTTGTTCGCGTTCGTGATGTTGAGGCCGACGCCGGCCGTCGCGAGCGTGAGGAGGAGCACGGACGTCTCCGGGTCCGACCGGAAGGCCTCGAGGAGCGCGCCGCGGCGGTCGAGGGACTGGCTGTCGAGGCGGATGGAGCCGAGCGTGTCCGCGAAGGCGTCGGCGCCGGCGCGCGGCGCCGACACGGCGACGACGCGGCCGGGGCGGAAGTGGGGGTCCTCGAGGTCCTCGAGCGACGCGCGCGCGTAGGTCCGCTTCGTCTCGCTCGACTTGGGCGGCCGCACCTTGACCTCGTAGCGGTCGCCGTCGAGGAGCGCGCCGACGGTACCCGGCGACCCCGCGAGCGCGCCGTCGAGCACGCGGACGCGCATGCCGACCTCGAGGCGCTCGCCGTCCCTGACGCGCGGCCGCTGCGCCGTGACCTCGTCGCCGACCTTGAAGCGGTTGTCGTAGCCGCCGCGCGTGAGGCAGGGCTCGCTCTTGGCCGCCGCGGGCCGGAGGAGCTTCGACGGCACGCCGACGCAGCGGTGCTGCTTCGCCGCGAGCTGCGCCTTGACGACGTTCGTCGCCGTCCGGCCGCCGTAGGCCACGGTGTAGAGGTTCCGGGGCAGGCCCGCGTCGCAGTCCTCGAGCGGCTCCTCGGAGCCGCACTGCACGCACGCCGAGCCCTCGGCCGGGTACGGCGCCGCGTACTGGCGATCGCACGCGCCGCAGATCTTCTTCGTGATGGCGCGGAGCTCGTGCTTCTTGAGCGCGCTGCCGTTGCGCTCCAACGCGAACTTGTTGCCCTTCTTGACGATGCGCGGCCGCAGGCAGCGGTCGTCGCGGCACTCGAGCTTCGTCGCGCCCGCGTCCTCAAAGTCGGACGCGCCGTAGCGCCGGCCGCAGCCGCGCTTGCCCCGGCAGGAGCCGCACGCGTCGAGCGGCGTCGCGTTGCGGCCGAGCTTCCAGGCGTTCTCCTCGAGCGCGCGGTCGTTGACGCCCGTCGGCTTCCACGTGCCGCGCGCCTCGCCGGCGTCCTTCGAGTAGACGAGGCGCGGCGCGAGGCAGCGCGGGTCCTTGCAGCGGTGCACGCCGTCGGCGTCGGCCGCGTAGTCGTCGGGCCGGAGGACGCGGCCGCAGCCGTACTTGTTCTTGCACGCCGGGCACGCGCTCAGCGGCTTCAGGTTCGGCAGGTCCTCGACCTTCTTGCCCTTCTTGACGGGGCGCTCCGCGCGGCAGGCCGCGGACGTGCACAGCGGGACCCAGGCCTCTTGTTTCGTGCCCGCGTTGACCTTTTTGAGCTTCGGGAACGAGCCCGCGGGGTAGAGTTTGCCGCAGCCGAAGGACCCCTTGCACTTCGGGCAGTCCTCGTCCTCGGTGCACGGCCGGCCGTCGGCGCCGGGGCAGGGCTTGCAGAGCATTCCACAGGCGTTTCCGTCGGCGCCGTCGCACGGCGCGCACGTCAGCGACGTCGGCACGGCGCCCTCGATGGGGCTCTTCGAGTGGAGGAGGCGCGGCGCGGCGCACTTCTGCGACGTGCAGCGCACCTGCTGGTCGTCGTCCATGGCGGGCTCCGCGCCGGGGCGGTACGCGGCCTCGCACCCGTAGCTTCCCCGGCACGACGAGCACACGCGCAGTTCGCCCTCGCAGTCCGGGTCCGCGCAGCGCGGGATGCCGTCGGCGCCGGGGGCCGGTTCGGCGCCGGGCGGGTACAGCGCGTCGCAGCCCTCGCACGTCATACCGCAGCCCCGGTCGCCGTCCGCCGGGCCCGTGCACGGCTTGCAGGTCATGGCGCACGCGTCGCCCGCGGGGCACGTGTCGCACGTGATACCGCATTGCGGGCAGATGTCCGGGAAGGGCAGTTCGAAGTGCATTCCGCAGGTCGCGCACTCGCGCTTCGCGTCGACGGCGACGACGCGCGCGTCGACGGCGCGCGCGTCCCAGGCGTGCTCGCGGTACTCGACGAGGCTGCCGACGGGGATCGTCTTGCCCTCGCGCGCCGCCAGGGAGATGTCGACCGTGTACGTCACCGGGTCGAGCGCCTCCTGGAGCTCGTCGAGGACGTCGCCGTACTGGCTGACGACGACGAACTGCGCGGTGATGTCCTCGGACCGCAGGCGCCGGATCTCGCCGACGACGGCGGAGAGCTTCGCGCTCCCGGCGACGCCCCGGGACTTGGCCTCCGCGTGGAATTGCCGGAGGACCTTGGGCAGGCGCGCGAACGCCTCGCGCCGCGGGTCGTTCTTGTCGCGCGGCAGGCGCGCGTCCGGCGCGGCCCAGCCGTCGAGGTCGTCGAGCGAGTGCGCGAGGAGCGTGGAGCCGAGCGTCAGCGTCGCGGAGCCGACGGCGCCCGCGTCGTCCATGGCCGCGTCGCGCTGGCGCTGGGGCAGCACGAGCTTGAAGCAGTCGCCGGGGACCGCCGCGGCCACGCAGACGCCGCAGCGCAGCGCGCCCGAGGCCGCGAGGTGCTTGACGCAGCCCATGCAGAACGAGTGGTGGCACGGCAACACCACCGCGTTGCGCTTCGGCCGGCGGCACACGGCGCAGTCGCCGAGGCGGCCCGCGCGCGCGGCGCCGCGGAACTCGGCGAGCGCGCCGAGCGCGTTCGTGCCGGTCGCGTCCGCCTCGAGGCGCTCGACGGCGTCGGCGAGGGCGACCTCGCGCGAGATGCGCTGGTCGAGGTCCGCGGACGCCGCGGCGACGGGGGCCGCGTCCTCGCCGTGCGCGGCCTTCCACAGCGACTCCAGGACCGCCGGCGACCCCGCGAAGGACGCCGCGCGCTGCAACGCCTTGACGAGGTGCGCGTTCTCCAGCGCCGCGCCGAAGAGCTCGAGGCGCCGGCACACGTAGGTCTCCGCCGCGTCCTCGTCCTGGTCGACGCCGACCCACCGCGTCGTCAGCCGCGGCAGCGGCACGAGCGGCGCGCCGTCGGCGACCGTGCGCTGCTCGCGCGAGTGGCGCATCATCGTGCCCTTGACGAGCGAGCGGAACGTCGGCAGGCACTCGTTCTGCCGCCGGTCCCACGGGTTCTTGCAGTTCGACTCCCAGAAGTGGTTCTGCCACGCGGAGTCGGCGCCCTTGCCGAGCGTGAAGGGCCAGACGCGCAGCAGCGACATCTCGCCCTGGAGGTCCTCGATTTTGGTGGTGATGGGCGTGCCACTGAGCATCCAGACGTTCGTCGCCGCGATGCCCGCGACGGACTTGGCGAAGACGCCGACGTCGTTCGCGACGAACTGGCACTCGTCGACGATGACGCGGCGCCACGCGACCTTGACCTTGAACTGCGACAGCTGGTCGAGGCGCAGGAGGCAGACGTCGGCGCCGAGGACGTCCGCGGGCCGCACGGTCGTCGCCCGCGCGTCGAGCGCCGCGACCTTGAGGCCCGGCGCCTTCTCCCGGCACTCGGCGAGCCACTGGCGGAACAGGGCCGCGGGCACGACGACGAGGGTCCCCGCCTCCTGGGGCCGGCGCGCCGGCCGGCGCTTCTTGTCCAGCGCGATGAGCGCGAGCGCGCTCACGGTCTTGCCGTAGCCCATCTCGTCCGCGAGGAGGCCGCCGCCCGTCACCGGCGGCGGCTCGAGGAGCACGTGGCCGCCGTGGGGGAAGTAGAACCACTCGTCGCCGCCGTCCGGGAAGACGCGCCGCTCCCAGTAGTAGCCGTTCAGACCCGCGACGGACGTCCGCGCCGTCGCCGCCTGGTCCTCCTGGTGCAGCATCCAGAAGACGTTCTGGACCTGGTAGGGCCGGAGCTCGACGCCGAGGACCGCGCACTCGCCGGCGAAGGCCGCGGGCGTCGCGATGCCGCCCGACTCCGCGTCGCGGAGCAGCGCCTTGATGGTGAAGCTGCTCATGGGCGTCTCCGACTTGGTCAGCGTCGCGTCCTCGGCCATGGGCGCGCGGCAGGGGAAGCGCTGGCCCGCGGGCGCGAGGTAGTCGACGACGGCCTTGACCGACGGGTGCGCCGAGAGGCCGAAGAGCGCGCGCCGCGCGTAGACGGCGACGTGCGCCTTGACCGCGACGGCCGCCGCCGTCGACTTGAGCGCGGCCACGAGCTGGTCGACGTCGACGAGCGCGACGGCGTGGACGCAGCGCTCCCGGAAGTCGTTGTCGCGGTCGTTGAGGCCCGCGAGCGCCGCGACGAACGCCGCGTCGGCCTCGCCGAGCGCGACGGCGCCGGCGCCGACGAGGCCGTGGAGGCCGACGGCGCCGTCGAGGAGCCGGTACTCGCGGGTCCCCTCGCGCCACGTCTCCGACCAGTTCTTCGCCGCGCGCTCGAAGGCCGCCTTGTCGTCGATGCGCACGGCGACGGTGGCGACGCCGAGGATCCGAGCGACGCGCGAGACGACCTTGCGGGCCTTCTTGCCGCCCTTCCGCGCGTCCTTCTCCTGGTAGATGCCCCCGCCGCAGTAGGGCACGGGCGTCGCGTGCGGCCACATGAAGGCGTCGCTCGTCGCGCCCGTCTCCTCGCGGAGCAGCGTCCAGCCCCCGGCCGCGGGCAGCGGCAGGTGCGGCGGCGCGATGCAGTCGACGCGCGCGGGCAGGTTCCGCGGCGCGGGCGTGTCACCGCAGGGCGGGACGACGACCTTGACGCGCGCGCGCTTCGGCGGCGACGGCTTCGCCGCGGGCGCCTCGTCGTCGTCGTCGCTGTTGATCTCGATGACCTCGCGGGCGCGCTGCTTGCTCGCCATCTTCTGGAAATGGACCTCCGTGTCCATGTCCATGATGGGAGCGCGCGCGGCTGCTCTTGGCAGGCGAGACTGGCGGACGCGGCCCGACGCGCTGCACGGGAGGTCAGACGGCGGACGCGGCCCGACGCGCTGCACGGGAGGTCAGACGGCGGCGCGGGCGCTTTACCTTGCGTGACTCGTCGATTTTTGATTTTCGCAACTGCTCGTTTGCAGCATGTTTAAGTCGGGTGACGCCTGCACCGCGAGCCGACCGCGCACTCGCTCACGCCCTACCCCGACCCCCTCTTCGTTCGCCCGAGCCCATCAAAATAAATTACGCCCCCTCGTCGCGGACGGGCGAGACCGTGTGGCTCAGCTCCGAGAAGGGGCACGCGGGCCACGGGTCCCGCGCGTCGCGCGCCTCGGAGAACGGGTCGCCGGCGCCGCGCGCCGGCCGCGGCGTCGTGAAGTTGCCGTCCTTGCCGAGCTCGGAGAAGGGCGGCAGGTCCGGCGGCGCCTTGGGGTCGGGCGTCGGCGGCGACACCGCCGGCGGATCCGGCGGCGCGCACACCTGGTTCGTGACGCCCTCGGCCTCCGCGGGCGACAACACGAGGCAGGGCCGCACGGCCGGCACCTCGCCGGCGGCGTCGTCGTCGTCGAAGTCGCCGCGCTCGTCGAAGTCGTCGACGGCGCCGAGGCTCGCGCCGTCGCCGCCGTCGCCCGCCGTCGCCGCTCGCCGCGGTCGCCGCCGGCCGCCGGACGACGCGGAGACGTTCGCGCCGATGGCCCGGAGCGAGTCGCGGAGCCGCGACTCGCAGGAGTCCCGCAGCGTCGCGCTGGCGAAGAGGGCCGTCGCCGCCGCGAGGAGCTCGTCGACGTCGTCGTCCGTCATCTCCTTCAGGTCGTCGACGTCGCCGGCCATGTCGCTCAGGCTCTCGGACAGCGGCCCGAGCTCCTGCGCCTCGAGCCAGTCGTCCAGCGGCATAGCCTTGGGCGTGCGCTTCAGCGGCGGCGTCCAGATGGCCCGGGCGGGCGTGTCGTACCAGGCCGGCGCCGCGGACGGCGGCGATTCCGTCGACGCGACGGACGCCTCCTCGGGGACCGCGGGCGTGCGCAGGAGCGCGTTCGCGCGCTCCCGCCGCCGCAGCACGTCCACGCAGGCGTCGTGGCCGCGCTCCCGCGCGACCTCGAGGAGCGACGAGCCGCCCTGGTTCGCGCAGTAAACTAACCGTTCATCCCCGTCGAGCGCGGCCTCGAGTGCCGCCGCGTCGCCCCGGGCGACGGCGCGGAAGGCGTCGCGCACGTGCGCGGGGAGCTCCGGCAGCTTGAGCTTCACGAGGTCGCCCTCGTCGAGGCCGTCGACGTCGACCTCGTAGGCGCAGCTGTAGTCGCTCGCCTCGCTGTCGCGCCGCGACCAGGGCGGCCGCGCGCCGTCGCGCTTCAGCCCGATGGGCGTGCCGCAGAACCCGCTCAGCCGCGTCGGGTTGTTCATCGCGAGCACGGGCGGCGCAATTGCCGCGCGACGCAGTGGCAAACTGCGGTGTGCTTGTTTTGCATTGGCCCAAAACCGAGGGCATCTTGCCGACCATATCGGCCCGGCGCGCCAGCCCGTCGAGGCTGCCCGACCTCGCGCTCGTCGTTTGGCGCCGGCCGGGCCTGCGCGCGCGGCCCAAGATGGTCTCGTAGCGCGCCGCCGCCGCCGCCGTCGCGCGACCGCTTCGTGTCCGCCGCTTCGTTCCAAAGAAGGATGCCGACGACGTTCCGGACGTCGTTCCGCAACGTGGTCTACGACGTGCTCAAGGCGCGCGGCTGGAAGGAGACGGAGGGCATGGACTGGGACTTCCACTGGGCGGAGAAGGAGTGGGTCACGGAGTTCATGGACGGCATCCACCTCAACCCGACCCAGAAGCTCAACCACTTCCGGAACCACCGCGAGCTCTGCCGGAAAGACCTACTCATCAAGAACCTGAAGCGCGCGAAGCGCATGCTCCAGCGCGACGGCGGCGGCGAGGAGGCGCAGAAGTACGACTTCTGGCCCCAGACCTACGTGCTCCCGGGCGACTACGCGCTCTTCGCGGAGGAGTTCAAACGCGGCGCGGGCGGCGACAACGTGTGGATCATGAAGCCCGTGGGCCGGTCCCAGGGCAAGGGCATCTTCATCTTCACGAAGATTAGCCAGATTAGCAAGTGGAAGTCCGAGAGCCGCTGGCGCCTCCAGGACGACGACCGCCGGGACAAACCGGAAAAGCCGGACGCGGAGACGTACGTCGTCCAGAAGTACGTCAACAACCCCTACCTCATCGGCGGCAAGAAGTTCGACCTGCGGCTCTACGTCTTGGTGACGTCCTACATGCCCCTGACGGTCTGGATGTACCGGAGCGGCTTCTGCCGCTTCAGCACGAAGCGCTACAGCAAGGTCGTCAACTCCAAGGGCGACATCGACAACCAGCTCATGCACCTGACGAACGTCGCCATCCAGAAGAAGAGCGACGACTACGACGCGTCGACGGGCGGCGGCAAGTGGGAATTGTTGAACATGAAGCTGTTCCTCATGTCGGTCTACGGCCGCGAGAAAGTCGACGCTTTATTCCGCGACATCCACATGCTCATCCTCCGGTCCCTCTTCGCCGTCCAGCAGGTTATTATTGCGGACAAGCACTGCTTCGAGCTCTACGGCTACGACATCCTCTTCGACGACGCGTTCGG